AGGCGTTTTACGGTTGCTGCTGAACTGCATCCCCCCACGAGCCGAGTGCGAGAAATGGGAAACGCATGTCGTGAGACATTTGGCTTGCAGTAGGCGTATGGTGAAACCGTTTCAACCTGCTGGCGACCCTCCATGTTCGGTCACTGCCGGACTGCATCCCCACGACACGACAGAGTTGCGTTCAAGAGATGTAAAACGCACCTCCGAAGGCGTTTTACGGTTGCTGCTGAACTGCATCCCCCCGCGAGCCGAGTGCGAGAAATGAGAAAAACATGCTGTGAGACATCGAGAGAGAGTGAGCGCCACCATCACCTTTGGCAGTAAGCTATGGTGAAACCGCTTCCGCAGGCGACCCTCCATGTTCGGTTACTGCCGAACTGCATCCCCACGAGAGAGTTGCCTTCAAGCGATGTAAAACGTACCTCAGAAGGTGCGGTACGGTTCTCCTGATCGCCACAACCCAGCTGCCCATGCTCGCCCCACCCCCAAGTGAATACCAACCCCCTCTCTGGTACACAAAGGAAACAACCAAACAAGCACAACAGAATCCAAAACGACCACAACCTTTTTATTTATTTTTCTCTCAAAAAGAACAAAGCAAATTGCGAAGCACACAAACAGAGCTCGTGCATTGACATAACAGCATTCACTGATTCTACCGTCTTCCCTTGAACAGAACGCAACAGTCATTATAGCCGTATTTGGCCCACCTTGCAGTTCAGGTGCAGCGAAAATGGCCGTACGGTCTACCTGGATGAAGAAGGTAGGTGGGTTAAAGGGGAAAAGGGGGCGGAGGGGGAGAGGGAGGGGGGGGGGGGGGGGGGGGGGGGGGGGGGGGGGGGGGGGGGCGCAGAAGGGAGAGGGGGGTAGGATCCAGCCAAGGACATGGAATGGCCTTTAACCGGTCTCGGAAGACCTCGGAAGACGCTCCCTGCTGGGCCCAGCGGGTTCCAGTGGTGTCCAGTTTTCTGAGGCCCCGCATGATTTGTTGTTTACTATAATGACGCCCCATTTTTGACATTTTCGGTAACACGCGTCGCTTTGAGTTGTTGTTTATTGCGTCGCCCATTGTTGTCGTTTTCAAGAATACGTGTCGCGCGATTTATGCCATTTCGTGACAGAAAGTGATCAGATACACGATTCATCGTTTCAGCGGGTCGTTTCCTTCAGAGCATTTCTGCTCATGTCTGAATACAAGTACACAGGCAACCGGGCTCGATACGCGATTCACAGTTTCATCAGGTCGTTCTCTTCGGAGCATTTCTGCTCTTTATGTTCGGATACAAGTAGACAGGTGAGTCGAGGCAACGAGTTCGATACACTATTCGCATTTCCATCAGGCCGTTTCCGAACATGGCATTCTTTGGAGCATTTCTGCTCATGTTCGTCGGCGACAGGGCTGGATTTGAAGTCGGGTATGTAGTTCAACAGTTCACGGGGTGTGCCGATTGAGTTATTTGGTTCTTTTCTTTTTCCTTTTTTTTTTTCCCTTTTTTTTTGGGGGGCGAGGGGACGGAATGTCGATGCGGCACCCAGCAGCAGCTAAGTAAGACAGCATGTTAGTCTTGAGTAAGACAGCATGGCTTAGCGGGTCGCTTTCATTTTTTTTTATTTTTTTTATTTTTTTTATTTTTTTTTTTTAGAAAATATGCGTGTCATCCTTGCGCAGGGGCCATGCTAATCTTCTCTGTATCGTTCCAATTTTAACGGATGTCCCGAAAGACTCTTTCAAAATTTCAATCCTCTTTAAAAAGTTTTTTGTGGGCAACGTACCGTTGCCAAGTCACAAGGTATGAATGTATCGGAGCAGGGTTCCAGGTCCAAATGCATTTAGGATATTGTGCGGTGGGGCTTCTTTAAAAGGTCAGCGACCTTGAGATATCAGCATCATTTCTTTGTTGCTTGTGTTTGTCTTTTCAGGCTGGTAGCATTGTTCCTGTCGTGGGTCTGCGGCGGCAGGGTGTTTTTGGTTTGTGCAGCATCTTACGGCCTGGAGCGTCTTTTTTATGGGTGGAGGCTGTTTCAGCAGGGTTTTGGGTTGAGACTCGAGAGGCGTTTATGGCCTGAGGCTTGATTTTGTTTTCCCAAGGTTGGAGATAGTCGCCAGGACAGGACAGCGGTCTGGTTGTGGCCATTTCTGTCCCTGGACACATTCCAATGCCTGCACCTAAGCTGGGTACCGGTCCCAGTATTCCCTATTTCCGGCTTGTTTGCGGAGGGATTCCTGGCCTCCCCCTTTTTTGTGTGGCAATATACTGAGTTGTCTTTTGTGTAACAAAAAAAAAGAGATATCAGCATCGAACTGACTGGTCCCGGATAATTCAGAATTATAATTCAATTATTCTATTAAAAAAAAAAAGAATTATTCTATTCTGTTCTTCTCATTCCATCAGGATTCAGACTTGGGTCTGTATTTCAACAATTCTTTTTGGAATATAATTGAATGTTTTTGCTTAAAAAAAAAAAAAAAAAAAGAAGTCTTTCAACAGTTCGCGGGTGTACCAACTGAGCTACCGGTGGGCCCAATGGTCTGTTTGAAAGACAGACCCAATTTGAAAGACAAACCCAACTGGTCAAATGACTCAAATCTGAATCCCTGCACTTCCTCTCTTGGTGGTGAATTCGATAACCAGGTGCCACAGGACGACCGAAGGCCCGTTTCTCCTTGGTGAAAACCAACCAAAGGTGGATTTAAAACAGTAGTAAGAAAAGAAGGAGGAGGGGG